GAACATCAAACAACACAAAACTTTATTTTTGAGAACAAGTGAAACCGCTTCTTCCCTGGAAAAACAAAATCAACCAGCCAGTGATTTACAAACGGTAACTAGAATACAAAATACTAGCTACGTCTCAATTACATGCCCGACTACAAAAATTCTCCATTGGAACAGACCAGAAGTATTTGTTTAACTAAAAATAAAGTTATGCGCCGAAACGGTTCGAATGGTCAAAATTTATTCTCTGGAGAGGACTGGGTCTAGCGGATAGATAACAGAAAACCCTTAAACCTGATGACGCAGCATTACGAAGGAGCAGTAATGACAGTTAGAGAGGAAAGAAAGCAGTGAGCGTTGTACAGTGTACACAAAATAAGCACAACTACTCTGGTTAGTGCACAGTCACCGTCACCGTCACCGACAGGAAAAAGCTCACCATTGCATAAATGTCTGTACTCCACATAAAAACTGGAATTCAAAGTCGCACAATACAGTGTTGGAGTGCGTATATTAACTTATTATGTGTTTATTTTCCTTAGAGGCCTCTACTGTTTATCACTAATTCAGTAAAAAGGAACAAGATTCATTCGTTCTTCCAAAATCGTTTTGTATCAAGTCAGACAACTATAGGCATAATTATTGTGTGATTCTGCGATTATTAAAGGTTCTTATTTTAGTCTTAAAAGAATAACTACTCAAAATAAGTTCAGGGTTAGTATGGGTAATCACATCCTTTCGAATAAAAATCGGAATAAAGAGGCATGTAACTTCAAAGAGCAACAAAATTGCACATAGGGCGAGTGCAATTTGCAGCTTTTGAAATAGAATACGAGTGCTCAATTTAACCTGACATTCCAGGAGTCTATTCACTACCTTTCGCTCCTTTCAATACGCGATCAACATAGTTGAAATTGAAATTAATCGGTGTGATTATATCATTAACTTAACCGAATCGCGCTGTAATTAGCACATTGAATGATTAAGTGGCGTAGATAGAAAGATAAAAAAAAAAACACGCTAGAACAAATAATGTCTCTATATAGCCGTTTGTTAATCGATATTATCTGGGTTCTGAGACAAAAGTTGGCGTGCGAAACAATTGAAAAGAAATGACAATATTTAGCAACAAGACATTTTTTTCTCCTATCATCATGAACTGATACAAAGCAACATCAATTACACAAACTTTTTTCGAAGCCTAGGATTCTCAAAACAACTTGAGAGGCTCCAAACAAATTGATATCAGACCCTGAAATATTTGCCATCACTTGTTAAAGGATTCCAAAAGGTAAGAAACGTTTTTTATTTTGAATTGTATCGGGTCAAGTTTAAGTTAAAAAAAACATCAAAACAAAACAATTACCCATCTAGCCCTAAACGAAGACGAAAAATGATATTAGTATTAGGGTTACTAAGATGGAGCTCTGGTATTGTTTAGAACCTCGGCTTTTACCATTAATTGAGACTGAGATCATTTTCAACTCTAATAGAAGAGACTTGGATAATTTCGCTGGAGACTTCTCTTTTAAAGTACTGTTGTGATATGCATCCAGTTCAAGGAGAACAAGGCGCCGCGGTCTAACCGATCTCCTGTTTTGTATATTTCGAAACATCCCCCTTTGTCTCTTCGACTGTAACGCGTTAATTATAGAGATTTAATTGTAGCAAATAGTTGTCCTAGTCAACAACTGAAATTTAGACAAAACAGATGTGTGGATTTCTTTGTTTTGTCAGAATCTCATTCTTAGCCTACGTTATTAACAAGGAAAGAGCTATATTTAAATCGCTGATAAATAATTAAAGTCACACTAAATTTTAAATGGTGAGCTACAAATCATCTAAAGAGATGGGAGGCTGCACAAATATCCTTAGAAATTTTCTTCTGGGGAGATTAGTTTTGTTATGTATTGTACGTACATATTTTAAACAAATGCATACGTTTAAATGTCCTTTGAGGCAAATTGACTCAGTGGAATCCAATTCAACTAAAAGGCTCATTTGAATCGTTATCCAGCTCGCAATCTATGACGTGGTTATGGTGCAAAGGCCACATGAGCAATTAACACCAAACTTAAGAATTCTCGTTCCCCCACCAACGGTTCACCGCTATTTCACAGAGTACGTTTCAGTTGAAAAGAAAACAAACCTTTTCACGGTTTAGAAGTTGATACATAAACTGAACAAACTATTAGAGGCCTAAGGATCGCGCCTCACGCACGTAGCACAACAAGAACATGTGTGGGCAGCGTACAGGAATGTAATTATTCTTGGATTGTTATGGTAACAGAGCATTGCGATCTTACTTAATTCAGAAAGTATTCTCTGTTAGGCTCAATCAATAATTTATGAGGAAATTTTAGCAGATAAAACCAACCACTACAGTTGAATGAGCCGTTGTTATCGAGATTTAGAAATCTCCAGAACTAGGCAAAACGCACGAGTGTCTTTACTTCATTGTTGTCCGGCGCTAAATCGCCTCGAGTAGTAACAATTGGAATCCAAATATACTGGCAAAGAAAAACAACGAAGAATACATTTGAATCTGCAGATGGCTTTACTTCAAGAACCAGATGAGTTTAATATTCTTTCAGGCGACGAATTTGTTCTCATAGAAGCAGATGAAGACCCAACACCACCTTTCAAGAAACATAAGCGCGTTCACTGGTCACAAGATCTAGTGGAGGTTTTCTATTTTGTACCAACGAACAACGCGGTTATCCCCCCCTTCGCAGATTACTGTTCCTCAAACAGAAAATCGCGACAGAGGAAACCGCGAAGGACTGCCAGCTCCCTGACTCGAAGTGCAGGACAAATCAGCACAGTGATGGTAATGAGAGGACTACAGTTTATTACAAAACAACTAAATGATTTGACGGTGGGAAGTGTTTCCGAAGACAGGTCAAGCAGATGGGACGAACTGTTACAATTGTATATGATACGAGAGAGGCTTAAAGACGAGAAAGGCGACTGGGTGTAACATAGAAATGAGAAGGAAACGAATGAAAATATCTCACCGGCCGCTATCGAGTATAACACGAAAATGCTCTGACTGCACAAGCGGATTAAGAAAAAATGAAATCCGCTTTCAAACATGAGAGGCGAACTAAGCCGGGACAACATTGAATTACAAGCAACTAAGAGTTCCTCAGCGCGGAAATAAAACTCTTGACGTCGGAGCTAACTGAAGACTAAAGAAAACATAATATTTTGGTAACCAAGAGAACAAGTTCTTCAAATCATTTACTAAACAATATTCTTCGTCTAATGTACGTTCGTCGATTTTTCAGATGCACATGGATGTATCTTCACTATATAGAAAAAAAAACGTTATTGACGCAAAGGAAATCCGGAAAAGTCCAAAATCGTTTGCCATAATAATAGCTTAAATCGGAAAGAAACGAAGCGATTGAGGACGGTTACGATTAAAAGGAATTTGATTCATAAGAATATGTTCAACAACGACTCCGGAATATTGAACTTTGAATCATCACTTACCACAAGCAATTACTTCGATTGAATCAAACAAATAATAAACTACATAAAATTTACTCCATTTATTTGATTAATTTGTAATAAAAATAGACTCGCTTGTATAAATTCAAAAAAATTAAAAAGGAAGTAGAAAATCTACGCTTTTTAAACAAAAAAATCGAAATTGGCAGAAATGGATGTTATTTCGAGTAATCACCTGGGAATGACATAAAAGAACTATTATTTCTTGAGCCTCTGTTTTCGAGATCACATCTATTCAGGGACAAAAGTCATTAATTTTTAACGTTGAGAACTCTCAAGTACTCGCCGTAAGGTTAACAAGATCTCCTACTTGTGTATGATAACAATCGTCTTAAATCTTTCAATAGTTTTCTGTCGAATACACGATGCATATTGTTCAAAGCAATTTTTAAACATTCAGTTGCAAACGGTTTACTCAAATGGAACATCTGTCACAAAAACGAAAAAAAAAAAGGAAAATAAAAAGATACAGTTGATAGATTTATTTTCAAGCTCGTTTGACATTGTCTATTAGAACTCAGTTTGCATTCATTGTATAGCTTTGTGTACAAAATTTGGTTGTTTTTTAACAAAAAGTGTTTTAAACGCAATAATTTTACCGGATGTGATTTGTTAATCAGGTTAGTTAGAAATTTGTTGCAATACTACACAATGCAATGATTGCATTGTGTATAATTCTCAGTTTAAGCCACAAACATGCGTCAAATTCATTATTCAGTATCGACGGTGACAAGATACATTGCATTTCCCTTTGTTACGCAACAAAATTGTGGTCAATTTTCATGCAGATAAAACATTGTTTAGAGGTGATTAAGAGGTCTTAGATACCAAAGGCGTGGTTGCCGCTTAAAGTCAACTGAACTTTGTTAAACAAAAGACCCATTGCTTCTCAGGGCTGACTGTATAAAACCAGTTCTTTATAACCTTCTTTATACCCCTCTGATAAACTAAAGAAAACTTTTTTCAATTTTTTCCTCTCAACACCATCGATGGTAGAGATCAATGGCTCAAAACCTAAAAACACGACATTGAAATTAACAAAAATTAATCCTTGAAAAACAAAACAAAACAAAACAAAAAAACCTGCCTAGCCTACCCAGAGATGTTCAAGATGTGGTCAAGCCAATTTTACGATGTCACGTGACATCACAAACTTGCAGTGTCTCATTACGCTTACTCAAGTTTGGTTATTCATTAGAAGCGAAGCCTAAACTGTGACTAATTAAGGCCTTGAAAATAAGGAAACCTAAATAGTGAAATCTAAAAGTACTAAAGTTACCTTTTTATCTTCCACATGAATATTCTGACAATGATCAGTAACCTTTGGAAATCTTAAAACTAAGGTTCTAAATAATGCTTTGAGTAAAAGTTTGAAAAATATTACAAAAACTGTTGAACTACTGTTTCCGTGGAGTGAAAAGTTTATCTTTCTTAGTGGGTCTTCCCCCATTGAATGCAATATCCTTTGATATTTTGTCAAATTTCAAGCACTTTAATTAAAGAATGTCATTCTATTATAAATTAGGTTGTTATATAATAGACTAGTTCAGCTGCTGATAGGTATCAAATATGTTTAGTATTATTTTTCAAAAATCTTAGACTGCATTTTGTATTATTCATATTTGATTAAAGATATCTTTGCCATCTAAGTTTTGTTTTCTGTATTAGTCTGTGATCCCTTATTGTAAACTACGAATGGGTATCTCCCAGGCTACATAGTTTGACATTTACGTGATTTATTTTATTTCATTTTTATATAAACTGAAAGAGACCAGATAAAGTTAAGAAGTAGATGAAAGATTATGCCCACTAGGAGAGATGGAAATCGTTTAATACGAGTTGATTGACTACAACTCAATTTCTTCAAAATTTTAAAAAAGTTGAATCACAGTGTAATCTCTGTGGCAAAAATATGAGAAAAGGAATTTGTTTGGGCTTATGGCTGTGGCATTTTTATGGTTATTCTTGTTTTACCCCATGAGAATGGTTTGTGGATACAGAAAACATGCTATTGCCGATAAATTGTATGTTTAAGGTAAAAATAGTAATAATGATAATACCGTCACCACTGTAAAACAAATAGTATATAAATCCGATGTCATTTACTATCTTTGAATCAGCAGTAACACGGGGGTGGAGTGTGTTTATTTTCCTACGTTACACTCTTGATTGAGAACTTACTCTGATGATTTTAGCTTTCTAGAAGCAAAATGTGGAATGTTTGATGAGCAATTGGGAAACGTTGGCTGCAAGTGGAGTGCAAGAACACGTATCTGTGAACCTAGTTACCTTTGCCAATTTTTTAATTTCTAGTGCAAAGAGCTTCTAAATTCAAAATTCAAAATTCAAAATTCAAACAGTTCTCACTGGTCCTCTCTTATTAGCTATTTAAAAGGAAAGGTTCCTATAAAAATAATTTTCACACAGACAATGTAATTTATATTATATAAATACATGTAATAATATAATAATATATAGTTAAGACTAATCTACAACAATACCACAGGGCTATGAAAATTTCTTTTTATCAATTAAGGGTTTAAAGGTTTTAAAGTTCTTTAGTTTCCCTGAAACATTAAAACTCTACAGCAAAACATCTCGAGCTGTCCTCTAAATGCTGGTCTTGGGTCTCACTTAAAACAGCTCAATTCAATCGTTTTCACGTGCTTATAATGTGGGTTTTGCTTGATAACAGTGTCACTGTACACAATTTTTTTCCAGAGTTACACGTAAGTTAAGATTGCTCCAGGCTTAACCTCTCCAGCTACAGTTTGGCAACAGCTGATTTTCCTTCCCCTTTGGCATTTTGGATCCTATTTGCCTCATTCTCGATAAGATAAACAAGATCTCTAGCGCTTCCCCAGTTTAATGTCATTCCCCACCTATAGTGACCATAATTATGAAATATCCGGGGTTCTAAAGGATCTTGTTCTAGTCTAAGTCCAGGTTTTCTTCCAGGTCGAATGCCAACAATAACCTGGAAATCACTATCCCTAAGAGAATTCAGGCACGGACTGAGATCCTTGCATTGTCTGATCATAGATTGGACATATGGAGCTGTAATAGATGCACTGCAGTCCCACCGATTTAGCTGATAGAATGAGCCAAACATCAGAGTATCTTCACCTGCAAGAGCATAAATTGAAACAAGCTGGACATTTGATTTCTACAAATGAATTAGCTATAAGCCAAACGATAAAAATGCAACTTAAAACTATCATAATTGCAACACATTATGAACCTGAATAATTGGAGTACTGTTTAGAAACACATGTATTACAACTGTATTAGTTGCAATGGATCTGGCCGTGTTAGTAAAACTTAATGCTACATAAAAAAGCACAAATCAACAAGTAAAATATCTAAGTTCAGAGTTATAGCTGCCATACAGTTTAGAGAAATGAAAACAGATTGTTTACTTTTCTGTGCATGGAATTAAGCTGCATGACTGTGGGCCTAAATTACCTACTTATCATGGTAATTATGGGTAACGGACGTGCTTCATATCGCTGCTTGATTTTCTTTATTTTTTTCACAGTTCTTTACATTATTTCAATTGAAAAACGACATATGGATTGCCTAAACATTTCCTCTTTGGATTATATTTGCAAGAATCATTGTTTGTATCCTAACAAGTGGATTTCTGCTGTATTACTACCTCGTTATTCAACAACTAATCGGCCTCGCTTTGTTTGTCTACGACCTAAAGGTTACAACACATCCAAAGTCAAATACTACGCTAACTCAACTACCACCTTCAACCAAGCTCGTCTTACTTTGGCTGGTGACGTTGCTTCTAACCCTGGTCCTGAAATGGGTTTCTTGTCGTCACAATTTGACTTTGGAGCAATTTCTCAACCGAAGGAAGATTTAATTATTCAAAACGAAGATTCTCAATGTTATTACATTCCAACCATTGTTTCTACGCATCGACGACCATCAAAGAAAATTTACTCAAGAAACATCAACAATATCACCTCTATCACACGCGTTGGCCATCTACCGAGAACCATTGCTTCTAACCCTGGTCCTGAAATGGGTTTCTTATTGTCACAATTTGACTTCGGAGCAATTTCTCAACCGAAGGAAGATTTAATTATTCAAAACGAAGATTCTCAATGTTATTACATTCCAACCATTGTTTCTACGCATCGACGACCATCAAAGAAAATTTACTCAAGAGACATCAACAATGTCATCTCTATCACACGCGTTGGCCATCTACCGAGAACCAAATCCACCAGTAATTTTGCTCTCCTCAATGTGCGTTCGATTGTTAAAAAATCAACTCATTTATGCGATTTGGTCATCTCCCACCATTTAGACATCCTGGCCATAACAGAGACTTGGCTTAAAGGAACCGAGGATGACAACCATGTTATTACTGACATCAACAACATTCTTCCGCATTTTAAACTCCACCACATACCAAGAAGGAATCGTAAGGGCGGCGGAGTCGCTTTGTTGATACGAGATGGTTATACCGTACTGCAAAATTCCATCATGAACACAAGCTCATTTGAGTACTTAGATGTGAGCATATCCAACAAAAGTGAGACATTCCGTTTAATTGTTCTCTATCGCCCTCCTCTGTGCAAAAAGAACAACACTGGAAATAGCTTTTTGCAAGAATTCTCATCTTTTCTTGAAGAACTTACATTATCAAGGCAGCCCATTATAATTGCCGGTGATTTTAACTACCATGTTGATGATCTATCAAATCCTGAAGCTGCCTCCTTTCTAAATCTCCTTGAGTCCACTGATCTAATTCAAAATGTATCTGGATCCACTCATCGCCTGGGCCACACATTGGACTTGATATTATCTCGTGAAGAGAATAATGTTATAACGGATGTTCGCATTCTATCAGCCGACAATATTTCAGATCATAATTTGGTTACTTGTAAGGTGAAATGTACAAAACCGAAACCTTCTACACTACATGTTAAACACAGAAACACCAAAAGGCTCGATTTAGCTAGTATGATCAAAGACATCGAAGAATCTAATCTCATTACTAATCCACAGTCTTGTGTAACTGAGCTGACTACACAATATAATACTAATCTCTCGTCTATCTTTGATCAACATGCTCCTGTGAACGAGAGATGGGTCACTCTGCGACCGCATTCTCCTTGGTATACTGATGAACTTCGTAAGGCTAAACAAGAAAAACGTCGTCATGAAAGAAGATATATTTCATCTGGTCTTCAAATTCACCAAGAAATATTTATTGATTCCTGCAAACACTACAATGATCTTCTAACAGCGACAAAGACAAACTATTATCGGACTCTGATCAGCTCCTCTGACCAATCACAACTATTCAAGATGGTATCTCGCCTATTCTTATCGAAGAACATTGCTGCACTCCCTAATAATGATTCATTGGATACATTGACCGAAACGTTCAACGATTTTTTTATCAAAAAAATTGAGAAAATAAGATCGGATTTGGACTCCCATACTGCCCAAGCACCCGACATCAACGTCAATTATCCAGTCACCTCGTCGTTCCAAACTTTTCAACCTGTATCTGCTGATATTGTTCACAAACTTATTGTTCAATCTCCAACTAAGTCTTGTCAACTGGATCCCATTCCAACACGAATTCTAAAGTCAATTCCACACTTGACGCCAATTATAACCAAGATTATCAACGCCTCCATGGCTAACGGAGAATTTCCTGATCAGTTAAAACAATCCCTGGTATGTCCATCTTTAAAGAAGCCTTCATTGGACCCGAACTGTCTCTCAAATTACAGACCGATTGCAAATCTATCTTTTCTCTCAAAAACAATCGAAAGGGTGGTCGCAAATCAAATATACAGATTTATGGCCGAGAACCAGTTATTCCCAGCGATGCAGTCAGCATACCGCAAATACTACTCCACTGAAACTGCTTTAATAAAAGTCTCAAATGACATCCTAAGAGCTGTAGATCAAAAAGAAGAAGTAGTACTTGTTTTGCTAGACCTTTCCGCTGCGTTCGACACGATCGACCATAACATATTACTTGAAAGAATGGAGAAACGTTTCGGATTTGGAGGTATCGCACTAAAATGGTTCAAATCATACCTAGAACATCGTGTTCAGTCAGTGAAGATCAAACACTCCATCTCTAAGCCTCGACATATCTCCTACGGCGTACCCCAGGGATCAGTACTTGGTCCACTACTCTTTCTAATGTATACCTCGCCTACAGAAGACATTGTTGCTGAACATGGCCTAAACTGTATGATATATGCCGATGATTCGCAACTTTACATAAAGATAAACTCCTCTGACAGAGTGCTAGGCATGGAAAGATTGAAATCATGCGTTAATGCAATCATGGAGTGGGCCAAGAAAAACAGATTGCAGTGCAACCCTTCAAAAACAGAAATCATTCATTTCCTCTCACGCTTCTCAAAAAATCCTCCTTTCTGTAATATCAATATTGGAGATGATATCATTAATTTATCTAATACTGTTCGAGACCTAGGCGTCATGCTTGATTCTGTGATGAACTTACGCTCGCATATAAATTCCATCTGTAAATCGTCGTCTCTAGCAATCAGAAATATCGGTCGCGTTCGTAAATACCTCTCGACGCAGCAAAATGAAAGATTGATACACGCCTTTATCTCATCGAGACTTGATTATTGTAATAGCCTATTGTACGGTCTACCGATTTGTGACATCGAAAAATTCCAACGGATCCAAAACACAGCTGCCCGCTTGTTAGTCGGTGCCAAATCAAGAGACAGTATAACACCTATACTTATGAAACTTCATTGGCTCCCGGTCACAAAACGAATTCAATTCAAGATACTGTTGATAACATACAAAGCACTAAATGACATGGCTCCAACCTATCTTGTTGAACTTCTTAGTCGATATATTCCTGCACGAAACCTCCGTTCATCAAATATGAATCTACTTGAGGTCCCAACAATTCGAACTAAAACGTATGGGCAAAGAGCATTCTCCTACGCAGCACCGTATTTGTGGAACCAACTACCTGAATGCATAAAAAACGCCGAATCTGTTGACTCCTTTAAACGCTTATTGAAAACTTATCTTTTCAAAAATTAATTAAGCCACCAGATTATTTGATATCGTACGTTGTCAAACATATGCATAACACGTAATAATTCATTAGTTTAGATAGAGTAGCGAATTGCATGTATAGGATTTTTATCGAAATTTTGTTAATTTGAAATTGTAAAGCGCATAGAGTTCAATTTTAATGCGCTATATAAGAACTTATTATTAAATTAAATTAAATTAAATTAGGCCTCAAAGCTAAAACAATTAACTTAACTACAAATCCATTTCCCAAAACACAAATAAATTCTACAATTTCCAAAAAGAAAGAAGTTTCCAAAACACACAAATGAGTCCCCAAAAACACTAACCAATTTCTAAAAAGAAAAATCAAGACACAAGGTGCCTGCTCCATATCTAACTAGTATCTAATTATCTATCACCTTTCCCTAGAGAGATACTTCAGTCTACTAAAGTCCCTCCTTTCTCCCTACATCAAGGCATGTGATCCAAAGAATAAAATGGCCATGGGAACAAGAATGTTGGTAGCTCTCTGATTTGCATTACTCTGCTCTCTGATTCCAACCATCCACAGAGTAAAATGCACAGCAGATACTGTACTTTTAATTACTGTTTATAATGCCACATCTGTGACAGTGTTCACCTAATCAAAATTATGCCATTGGGTTTATTGCTCATTTCCTGCAACAGTTGGGTCAGTTTTGTGTAGGTGCATGACCATGGTTAAAGGAATTGCATTCTAATATTTAATTTTTAAATTTTAAAATAATGATGACGATAAAAATAATAGCTTTTACCATAATATATCATGGCAATTAATTACTCTACCTCTGGGGAAAAGATATGGACGACCACAAATTTCTTGTCCTGATTCATCATGTCCAAAGCTGGTATGCTTCCCTTCCACACAAAATTCAATCTTAGGAAATAAACTGCCATCGTTTTTTACCTTCAAGAGAATCCCTGTGAAGATATGTTACACACTGTTAGTCTCAATAAATTTCAAGTTGGCTTCATGCTTTTTTTTTTTTCAAGCTTGGACTTCCAGTGATGAGGTCTCAGTTGTATGAGAGGCATTTGTTGTTTATTTTTGTTAGAGCATTTGGACTCTTTTCCATTATCTAAATCTCATTTCTACCATCAACAATATGATCCATCATAGATCCACTTTTCTATGGCCAGCAGGACTATAGCAATTGAAATAAATTAACTTTTTAAGGAGAAGAAAACCCATTACCCTTTGCTGGGAACATTCCTTGATCTCCAGCTAACTCTATTGAGCCTAAGCCTGAACAGTTGACAATAAACTGAACACCATATGTCATTCTCAGTGCATCCCCCTGCTCTGTCAGTGGTCCTCTAATGGCACCTTGTATAAAGTGTGCCCCTTTCCTTTTGCACTGAAAAAAAACCACAAGAATTTGATCAAGAGAATCACCATGTTGGTTTTTGTTTAGACCATCACTGATAAAGATAATTTTTTTCACAAGGGATAGTGAATTTAAATTTTACTGATAAAAAGTGATCATGTATTTGAAAGTGACCTTCTTTCTTTGCTTTATTCATTTATTTTTTCAATAAACATGGTTGACTCTCTCTTGCCATGAGTTCTGCGAAGGCTCTCTGCTAGCCATCTTTGGTTATGATCATTTGTTATTATGCACAGCCACAGTATGAGAAGATATTTTAACCACTCAAAAGGGGGAAGGGAGCTATTGTATTGTAACAGTTTTACAAATATAAACTAATACACTGGGATGGTTTTTACATTCCGCTAATTAAAGGTCATCATCACAGCAAACTAACCTTACTCTACGATCTCATGACTAATTTCCGAAAAAAAGTATTACTTTGTTAGACTTGGTCAGCATAAAATAACCCTCTTAATTTCAAAAAAACTACATGAAAAACTGACAAATAAAACAGGGAGCAGCTTGTACCTCTTCAAAAAGCCATGTTCCAAATTTTGGTGGATCAATGATTGGTGCAAGAAAAGAAACAGCATCTTTTATCAGACCATTTCCATCTGTCAAGCCTAAACAGGGAGATTCCATACAAATTAGGAGTTTGCAGTTAATCTCTCAGCTTAAGAATAGAAAACCTTGTCAAATACAGAGTATTTTCCTTATTAAACTGAAAAAGAGGTTTTCTGAACTTAGTCAAAATTAAATGACCTGCAGCAAAAGGAGAAACTTACATTGTCTACAAACATGACTTTGGTAGTGATAATTGAAATAGCAATTGAAATTAAATTAACTACTATCACTAGCACTATATCTAACAGAAGAACATATGACAGGGGACTTCTGAAGAACACAATTTGTAGATGATTATGTGGTTCATCAAAACGTCAAATCTGTTTAAGGTGTCTCTCACAAACCTTTCTCCTTAATCAATGACATAGAATTTTTAAATCTTTTCATTTGCTTGTACTCCTCCAATATTACAGGATCAATCTAGGAAAAAACTTCAATATTATTTGATACTTTCTGATACCATTACCGACATTTAAAACAACCAGATGATGATCATGTACATCATCAAAATCAATTTTTTTTAACAATTGTAGATAATCATCCATAATCTATTTAAATTAAGGGATAAACATTTGCTGAGGTGTCAGATACCATTTCAGTAGGCCAGTTCTGTCATTCTATTTCAACAAAACTCCTATTTCCAAGAAAATAGTAGATAAGCATAAATTGATTGACCCTATTCCAAAAGTAGAATACTTTTCTCTTCAGTCCCAATACAATACAAACAAGACAAGGTAGAATTTTTGAGCAGAAAGCAGTAGTTGTTATGGGAAAAGTGTGCTCCAGATAATCAATATTACAGGTAAAATCTCCATTGATAACATCTGCAAACAATTTTTGAATTGACAGAAATTAAATTCAGATCTCATAATCTACAATTATTGTATATTTCCATAATTGTAATTAAGGATGGTCGGGATAATTCAGTGTCTGGGGTAACACCTCCTTTAAGACAGCCATTTCTTTGACCTTAAACCGATAAAATATCAGGATGGTTAATGTTACCTGATAACATGGCAACTCTAACACCAGAGGCTCAGCTATTAGCAGTAGTACTTACCTTGCAATAAGCTCATTACCTAGTTTTTGACATGCACTTTGACTGGGGGGAATAGTAGTTTAATAGATGTCTTGTAATGTCTTCCTCAAGATTAGGGGTAATTAGTTCAATTATGATCAAGTAGTATTTTTTAATTCCACATCATTCAGCAGACAAATTAAATTCTTCAAAGTGCAACAAAGAAGATAGTGTTCCCAGTTAGATGAGCAAAAAATAAATAGGACATTTACAAATATTTTAGTTTAATTCATTTACTTACTTTTTCTCCCAAAAGAAATACCAACTCTCTTAAGTACACTCCTGTATTTCTTGAATCATTGCAAAGTGAGGTGTATCTTTCTCCCCCATATACTGACCATTCCTTGAATCAGACAATACATTTTACATTTCATAAAATCAGTAAATGTCAAACAGTAAATAATTATATGAATCTGAATTTATCCCACATGTTGGGAATTAATGGAGGTAAATCTTTAAATCCTCAGTAAGAATTTTGACACTTTCTTTGACTTTCATGTAATCATTGCAGTTAAATAAAGCAATCATTGTCAAGTTCAAACCTTCAAAGTTTCATTCAAGATTCTTTGCTCAGATTCTGATTTACCATGCGGTACATCTGCAGCCCTTTGAACCATAGCCATAGGAGGAACACAGAGTGCTCCAGAGGCTTCTGAAGCAATCTTAGGTAAGCGTCGAATAGAAGGAAAATCCTTTGATATAATAACCACATGATGCCTGTTAATTCAAAGTTTATAAATGATTTCATTATTATTATGGTAAATATACTCTCTGGTTTGCTCTCAAGTAATTAATCTTCATTAAAATGACATAGAGAATGTCTGCTGCCAATAAACATGGAGGCAACAAATCTTTAGTAAAATGTCAAATATGTAAGCACAATTACATTTTAAGGCAAAGGCAAATAGAATGTAGGGTAAGAAAGATGTAAATGGCATATACTGTATACCACAGGTCACTAGTTACCCTGGATAATTTACTTAGCTGAATACCTAAAATACAAGAGAAGGAAAAATATTGGATATATTAAAATATTGCCAAACAAAGAAAGACTACTGACCCTCTTTCCAGTAGTAAATAAGCAGTGGTCAGACCAATAACACCACTTCCAATGATAAGAACCTTGCATTTAAATTCCTTTAAAGGAAAGTTGTTAACATATTATTAATAAAGTAAATTGCATGTGGGTAATGAAACAGCTTAACAGCCCACGCTTCCCTTGGTCACCAAAAAGTACCACAGTGCTACTTCAGAGTGTCCTAAAGCTACCTATAGCGTTCTCCCACCCTCTAGCTCTAAAAAATTAAATAAAGTTTTCCAATAAGTCTCTATACTGCCTAATGTTCACTTGCCTAAATCAGAGGTGTGATAACTCAACTTTAGTTAATAATTTTGATTACAATGTTTCACATACATTAAAAAAAGTGTACAACACGAAAATGCGCAATATCGCTGACACAGAAATATCGCTGGTCCACCATGTTTTCGATTCTTGAAAAAATTACTTAATAATATATGTACGGTATAATTTAATTTCACACCCTTAGGAGTAAAGTGTATCGCAGGTCAGATCGTAGCAATATAGTATTCAGTATTACTCTCTTGGAGGGGCCGGGTAGGATGATAAAGTTCGGTGATGGCGAAGTGACTTACCTAAAAAGATAAAGGGGTAAGTTTCTAAAGAAAGCGTGGTGCTGCGTCGGTGGGAGAGTATAGCAGGTAATTTAGTGTTAACAACTGGGTTGAAAACGTAAATTAGCCACCGTAAAGAGTAAAAAAGCTGACGTTTCGAGCGTTAGCCCTTCGTCAGAGCGATAGATCTGTATATACATCGCTCTGACGAAGGGCTAACGCTCGAAACGTCAGCTTTTTTACTCTTTACGGTGGCTAATTTACGTTTTCATCCCAGTTGTTACCACTAAATCACCTACTTAAAAAGATAACACAGCATCCTAAACCCTACAACTAATACCCCGTTTGTTTCTTTAGCTTAACATGAGTTTACTTATGTGTCGCAACTACAGAAAAGAAAGCAATCTTATAAATTATAAATTCAGCCACCTTTTTGTTTCTTGAAGTCATTTCCCAACTCTTGCACTGGAAAAGATTTCGGGTGACCTGGATAGCTGAAAGGAGCTCTAGCAAGGTCGACCGATGCGTCCGAGGAGCTTTAGGGACTTGGAACGAACACAATTAACCTGGTCATTGTCTCACCTGCGTCAGCGGGGAGGGGTCTTTTATAAATTCTCCCCCTTCAATGGTGGTCATGTGCAAATACTAACTCTAAGCAGGTATTGGTCCCTAAGATACAATACCGAATTTAAAGTATAAAGGTTTGACAAATGTTGGAAAACGTTCCTTATTTAACTGTGCAGCTACTGAGCTTGTCTAACAAAAAAAATATGTAGCTTGAAGGAGGCTCCATAGGGATTTTTCTTAATGTATGTTGGCGCGCGCGCCAGCGTGATGTTTTTCTAGAATATTTTTATGTTTTTTGGCCTTCAAGGTCACTAAATGCCATCAAAAGGCAACGAACAAGGTTCCAACTATTGTTTTCTGCAATAAATATTATCAGAATGATTTTTGTTATTAAGCCAAGAATCCACGAAGGGAAGCGCTCGCCAGCAATAATTTTTATTTATTAACTTCGCCATATAACAACAATAAAAATTAATAGATTAAAAAGAAAAGAAAAGAAAAAAATGACAAAAAACGACAAAAAAAAAAAAAAATGGCAGGGATACAGCAACAGCGTAGCCAATCACAGCGGGCCCAGATTTGATTTGGCATTGCCTTTGATTTTCTTCGATTTGCTTCGGTGAAATCTCTCAATTTTCACAATTTGTGATCATTTAAAAATTTTCACAATCTGCCGATCATTAAAAAGCCATTTTTTTTTTCAACAGGCATTAGGAAGGGCACAAATATGTTTAACGGTCCAGCAAATCTTAGGAAATCCCACCGCAGGAAACGTGATTAATTTCACTCGAAAGATCCCTATTTTCCATTGTCAACACATTACGTAATGGAATAGAACTTCGCCAAGATCGGTATTTGAGCATGCGTAGACTTTCAAATCTGTCGCCTTTAGGCGACCTTTCCTAAAGTGTTTTCTTTCCGGTTGACCTCTTTTTCAGGCGTACAAGGCCCATAAATATTACGGGTGCCGTCACTGGAAAACATAAAACCTGCATTATGTTAAATTGTTTTTAACACACTTTTCAGATAACATTCGTGTGATCGTACCCAGCCGCCATGTTTGTTTAGCATGTTGACGCTTTTAAAGCTCGTGCTCTGTGTTCGCACCCAGATCTCCCGCGGCCAAAATCTCTGGGAAGCTTCCCTAAATGCAGGTTTTCTATATAATTTTTTACCAAAGCAAAAAGGATAATTGACCCTCTCAGAAAACTGTAGCCTGCTCTCATAATAATTAGTTTGATTGAAGGGCACTGCTAGGTAGGAAAACTCAGGGGGTGAATTACTGTGCTCCCATACATCATTTCTTTTTGTATCCCTTTGCAATTACTTTTGTTTAGTCTGGACTGAGAATTGTCACCTCGGCTTAACCTCCCTGAGGGGTACAGCATGACAAGACAACCCTCCACCTTTGTGGGCTTCCTTGTATGTATCACTGTGTATCAATTCTTGCATGTATTTGTGCATTACCTCTTGCATTATCAAGTGTGCTACCTCAGCTGATTTGAAAGTCCCTTCATTCCTAGTTGCATTTCCTTATTCCACCCTTTTGTGTAAAATTCATGCCAGGCCTCAGTTGCAACAAAATTTTGAACCAAATGTTCCTTTAGATTCAAGATAAACAGTGGCAGTTCAGTAGCAACACCATCTCACAGGTTTTGTACAGTAACTTAAATCCTGAACACATCATTAATTCAAACTCACATCTTCTTATGTTTTTGTACATGTTCTTGTATTATTTCCCATCACTACACTTTCTTTGGTTGCCAACGATAAAGGTTTAATGCAATGATCTACTAATACATTTTCTACTGCAAATCAGGAAATTTTATAGATTTGATCATATGTTGACCTATTGAACAAAAGTGTAAAATTGCAGAACTGCATCTCAGCATTATTTGTTGATAAAAAAAAGGACGGCTTACTATAAGGAAGAAGGTACAGACCTTTTCATTAAATAACTAAGCCAGATGCATAACCAATGTTAGAAGACTGTTCATTACAATTTGTAACAGGCATTGAAAACAATAATATTATTTTAAAAGAGGGGTTTCATATTTCCCTGCAGGCAAGAGTTTATCAAAGGGGTGGGGGAATCTATTGAGAAAACTGGTAATAAACTATTTTACAACTGATTGAAGCCACTCATAAAATGATAGAGATTCCATTATTGACGAAACATTTATTTCCTTTCACTCAAAATGTTTAAACAGTACATTCACTTTTGGCAAGATACTTAAGCTATCTTATACAATACACGTCCTTACCCTAATTAAAAGTAATTCATAGTTAGTGGGGCTGTGGAACATGCCCATCTACATAGAAATTCCTGGTTGCCTTTGGTAGAGTTACTTCAAGTCCCTCTAAATCTTTGTTTAGTATGATCTGACAACCTGGTAGTACAAAGGAATACATTGATTTCACAAAAAGACTAAGGCTGACCTTCCTCGTTGAGGAAACACATCAACAAAATCCCATTCACTTAAGAAGAGGTTAATTTGATATGTAAGTAAAGTAAAGCCTTTATATGAGCCCAAATGGCCCATGGGGTCAGTGCTTAACTCTGGTTTTCTTAGCATGAAGCGGCTAGGAGTGTTGCTACTCACCCCTGGATGGGATGCTAGTCCATCGCAGGGTTACCCCCAGCACATTTGCTGGTACCCATTTGTACACCTGGGTGAAGAGAAGCACTGTGAGAGTAAAGTGTCTTGCCTAAGAATACAACACAATGACCCCAGCCAGGGCTCGAACCCGGACCACCTGATCCGGAGTTGAGCGCACTAACCATGAGGCCACTGCACCTCCACAATTTGATATGTAACTTCCACAAAAAAGTTTGTCAACATCAATGAATTGTATCATCAACAAGAATATGCAAGGTTGTTATATATAGTATGATTAGTCTAATCTAACTGTAATGATAAAAGGTTTTCTTATTTGTTACAAATTTCCTTGTCAGTTCCATCAGCAGAGCAAAGGAGACTGCTCTTTACATTAGGGGTTCAGCAACACAACTACATCAACTGACAGTATCACAGTAAAAACAAAAAAGAAAAGTACAGTATATCATACTCAAAGACCTCATCAGATTTGATAACAATTATTTGCAAAAAATAATAACATGGGCTTGGGTCACAATTTATTGCAGAAATGATTGATGGCAAACTTGAAAGAACTTTTAAGCCAAAAAGAATGATGTGCACCTTGGTTAAATTTTATGCCGGATCTAATTGATAGTGAACTTATTGAAATGGCTTCCATATCTTCCAGATGGATAGAGCTAATTTTGCTTTGACATTTGATTTGTTGTCCAAGGTAGCTAGGCAAAAATTTATTGATATATTTTTATCAGCACTATGGATTTATTTTTTCATGAATCAAATTGTTGGAAACCCCTTTTTTCAGCCCTGAAATATTACCAAAGAAGTATGCAAAATATATGGCATCAAACACACATCCACACCGTAGAGTACAAAATTCTAATTCTGTATGACAAAAAAAAACCAACTTACTGACAGTAGCCAATCATGAGGTACTAAAACTGTAAACAACAGGCTCTATCGTATGTTATGTGCAGAACTTCAAATACCTAGTAACTCCTTTACAATGACACTGCATAGTACTTTTACATTGTACTGCTTACCAAGTCTTGAGTTTTCCTGAAGAAATGGAGCCATATCCAGCATATCATCCTCCCTGGAGACATAATTCTAGTTAAGTTCATAATATTTACAAAATTAAACAACTACAGGTTAATCTTTACTATTTATGGTTTAGAGTTTATTTTCTTGGAGGAGAAAAACTAAGGGCTAATGCTCAAAACATCAGCTTTAAAACTCTTCACAGTGGCCAATTTACATTAGCAACTCAGTTGATAAAGCCAAATTATCTTGTTATACTCCCCTACCTACACAACACCACAGTTTCTTTTAAAAAAATTACTTTATTCATGAATCTAGTTAAGGTGTACATAATTATGAACAACTTTAAAATGTGGCTCTTCTAAATGGCTTGAGAAAATGATTTTGAGGAAAACACCTTGATACCAAGTGACAATTTATTTATCAGGACAGGTTCAACTATCAAAATAGCACATAAAAGTAGGCACCACTCAAAGGATATCAGAAGTATGAGGATGCCTGTTCCATGGGATAAGACAAAATCATTTTTTTTATAGACTATCACTGAGTACCAAAAATCTCCTCAAATAAATCTTACTTCTCTTCTGGTTCAGGAAGCTTTTCCAAAAAATCTTCCCTAACATAGACATGACACGTGGAACAGGCTAATGATGCTTCGCATGCTCCTTTAAAACAAGAATAATTTCTGAAAGTTTCTTTATTCAAATAACTTAAACATCATAAAGTATAAATGTTAATGATACATTTCTCATATATGCATGGTTGACCTCAATCCTGATTGCTCCATCATAAATAAACCCAGCTCTTCAACCTTCAACTTCCTTGGTCATGGCAGCAATAAACACAGTTTGAGAAAATACATTTTCATATTTGTATCACCTTGTTAATTTGCTTTGAGTTTCACTTAAATGTACTATGTATTAGCTTTCTGTTTTAAATATCTTGCATCCTTAATGGCTCTTTTGAAAGTAAAGCAATTGCCAGTGGTTAATGGGCACTTTCCATTACTAAAAGCAAATTAATTAGCTTAGTTGTAAAACATGTAGCTTACCCTCCACTTCTATGCCATAACGGTGTGCCAAGTATAGCAAGTTGTCTCCTATTTTCCCTCTAACTTTTATTTTGTCTCCAGTGCGATCAATATATGTGACATTTACACTTTCCAGAAAAAAGAAATAGGTTATTAAGATCAAAAGTATATAAAAGACTCATTTACCAAACCAATTCAATCAGCACCACAAGCTACTACCTTCAGCTGAGTTGGGAACTAGTTTAAAAATATCAGAATGATCACCATATAGTTT